AGCAGGAAAATAAAGCAGCTGTGAAATTTTAGAAGTTAATTAGGTGTTATGGTGGTCCTGACTTGGTTGCTGTTCAGTTCTAAATGCAACTCGAAATGAGTGACTTCTGAATTAAGTCAGCATAGATCAGAAACATCAGTTTTATATAGAAAGATTAAGCTGCCGTTCATACACACAATGCTTGTAGTTTATGTTTCATTTCCCAAACAAGATGCAAATACAGTTTGAGTATCTCTACATGAGTAGTATCAATTATGAATGCAGATAATTAAAGCTCCAACACAGGGAGTATGATTCATATTGTCTACCATATTTTTCTGCAAGTTTATTTATAGCCATCACCAAAAAAATCTTAAAATTAATTAAAATTGGAAGGAAACAATGTCAGTCTCCAGTGGCATTTCATCTACTGACAGTTCTTTCATCCATATTGTTTATGGAAACAGCAGCATACCACCCACTTGTAATTTTGCTTGCTTTTGCTCTCTTGAATGTGCTTACGTAAACTGTGAGCCTACTTCCTTTTAATTTATGTAAATAATAACATTATAGAAAATTTATTCTGTGTTATCATGTCTTTTGTATATTGATAATACACATTATATACATTTATGTGTGTGTGTATATATATTCCCATCAGCTCTAACATTAACTGTTTTGGGAACCTTTGGCAACATTGCAAAATACTATGAAAAAAGAAGTGGTATTTTGGGGTTCGCTACTGCCACTGCCAGATACAGTCCCAGAATAGTTAAGTAGTCTAAAGAGTTTAATAGATGCAGGCCCAGGATTGTTAAATAGTTAAATACTCATCATCATGTAACAAGCACAAGTCAGACTTCTAAGCAACATTTGTACTAACATCTTGGGGCATAAAGTAGCCTTTTAAAAGATAAACTTTCTGAAAAGGCATCTTTGTAACTTGGAGAAGCGGGTATCTTGCAACAGAGGGTTTTCCCCTACCTCTGCCTAATTAGGCAGATGCTGTAAATGAATTTGCCATTAAAAACTAAGCAGAACTAGTGTTTGGTAATGTTATTTGGTTATAGTTTTCTTTCATCTGTGTGGTTTAATTAAGTGGAGAAAAAAGTGTTGCACTGTATATCTATGCCATTGGGTCTCTGATCTGTTTGCTGCCTCAGTAGGTCTTCTATACATCTTTGTAAAAGCGAATGGGAAGAGAGAATATTTTCAGACAGTTAACCAATGGAATTAAAACCAGGATATTTCAGGGGTTCAGATACAAGAGAAACCTCATGAAAAAGTGGGACCAGCCCAAGAGAGCAGCATGTAAGGTCATGTCAGTGGTCAGAAGTGTCTTTATATTCCAAGTGGGGACTCCGCTTCTCCGCATAGCCGCTTCTGGTTTGAAGCTTGGTTGGACATCTGTGGGATGCGTGTATTAATCAAAGAGGATATCAGCCATTTCAGCTTGTAATTTTGCTGGCCTGATTGCCAGACCAAATGAAAATACTAAGGTTTGAATAGTGCAAACATAGCTGTGTGTTTTCTTGCAGAAAGTTTATGTAATGACATTTGTTAGCAGCTGGTGTAGCAGATGGGCATCTATCACTGAGATAAATTAGTTGTTTCACGCAGCACAAAATCATACTTTGGAGCTGGCTCGGACTGTTAGAAAATCACTGGTAAAATTACATTGGGAGCTCCTTTTATTCTGTGAGCTGACATACTGCTGTAGTCTTCTGTATATAACACTTTTTCCTACAAATCTTCATCCACATGGCTGTGTGTCTATGTCTCTGTGTATATCTCTTTGTGTATCCTATTTGGTTTTGAGTTACTTCCATGATGAGCAGAACTAGCGATATCCTGTATTTCTTAATTCTCTAGTCATCGATATTAATTCAAACCCCACTATGCAGTCTGGGAGCGAGATGTTCCTTTTAGGTAATAACTGTATACAAGAATGTTTATGGATGGTACATTTATGTTCCCTGCAATGAGAGGTGCATAGAAGATAACTAGATTGTGTTTAGTCCAAATCAAAGATGAAGTACTGACATCTATCAAAGCAAGTATGCCTGGGTTGTTTCTTTTAGTATACACTCTCTATAAAGATTTTTTTTTCTTTCTTTCTTTCAGTATTAGGAGCCTATATTAATGTTAATCCCATCCTGTGTAAATCAAAATTTAAGCAATTTAAATTTTGTAGCAAGAAGGTAAGGCTTTTGTTTTCCTGCATTAGTTCAAGGATAGCCTTGAAAAAAAAGGGAAAAGATCATCTGAACCCTTAATAAAGATCAGAATGTATGGAAACCAAGTCACAGAATTATTACTTGGAAGCAGGAAAATTGATATTTTTCTGACTAGGGCTTTGAGATGGCTTAAATTGTCTCCTTTAATTCTGTTGTATTACAACTTCTTTGATAGTGCTGATCTATTTCCTGTATTGAACACTTTGTATATGTCTGCTCTGGTGATTTTTGTGTTCCCTATCTTTAATGATCACAAAACTTTTTGTCCTGATGTAACAGACATTTGTTATTTTTACTGCTAATTGTTAGTTCCAGCTGTCTAGAGCATGTTTGGAGAAAGAAGTATACCATTAAGATGCTGCAGCACCCTTGAACAATTTTACAATGTGATCTGCAGTAAGACCACATTAACTATAGGGATGTCTGAAGCTGAATTTCCTGAAAAAAAATCGTAATGGAGATAGTGACATGGTTTAGTCAAAACAACATGCTACTTTGTGATTCATCTACTGATAAGTACAATATAATATTGTATTTATAGTGAGCAAAATGTTCTAACAATAAAACTAATGTGAATCATTTGCTAATTTCAGGGCTTGTAATGCAGTGTTTACAGCATTAGACCATTGTCAGGAAGCTGTAGAAATAACCAGTGAAGACCATGTAATTCAGGTAGGGGAAAAAAAAGTTAACTATGTCATAGAACTTGGAAAGAGGAATCCCAAAGATATCTTTGCTCAGTAGTTTCTGTTCTATTTCAGTATTTTAGTTTTGTTGCCCATTAGAAAGCCCTGTGCAATGAACTGCCTTATTTCTGGATGCTGCACATTGATGCCTGCTGAATTTTTAAGACTTTTGTTTCAGTAACTTTATTTAGATGATATTTTTCAGTAATGTTTCTTAGGGTAAAATGAGCATGAAATCTGTAGCAGAACTAGATAACCTGTACAGTAAAGAGTTTTGTTTTTGTTCTGTGCCTTCTAATAAGAGTTTACATATCACCTTCTGTGTTTAGCTCCTTCCTTGAATAAAATGTTTCACCATTATATAATATTTTTATATGAAAAACACTGAATTGTAGGAATGTGTGGCTATGGCTTTAGATGTATAACTTGTAACACTTCAATAGTTATATGTGAGTAATTATCTTTTAAGTATGTTCTTTTTCATATTATCCTAAAGTACTTTTGTTTTGGCAGTATGTTAATCCAGCCTTTGAGCAGATGATGGGGTATCACAAGGCAGAGCTTATTGGCAAGGAACTTACTGAACTACCAAAAAGTGATAAAAACTGTGCAGATCTTTTAGACAGTATCAACACATTTATTAAGAAAGGAAAGGTAAGCAAATAAAATAAACTCAGGCAAAATTGCTTTAGATTTCTATTCTGCTTTATTTTTAATGCTCTAGGTTTAAGAACACAAGATGTGGTTTTCATGAGTGCACATATAAGACCAGAATTCTGCTGCTCAGATGTCTTAGGAGCACAACAGCCCATGCCTCAGACAAGTGACTACAGATTTCTTTAGATTTGCTTTTAGGATCTGACTGAACTCCTCTACTAATCTGTTGGATTAAGATCAATATAAGAATGTTTTCTGTGTTTCTGGTTTTTTTAGAGCCCATGCAGCTTTTGTTAGTTGGAACATAACAATTTGTCCCTCAGTCAGTCTCTTGGGTAGCTGCATCATCCAACCAAAAGATGTAACTCTTCTGTCATAACTGCAGAGCCTTCATTGACTGCATGCTTTAAGCACCATGTGGCATAATGAGTTGTGACCAAAATATATCAGCACCCAGTGGCGTTTGTTTTTCTAACTGTAGTTAGAATATCTGCAGTGCACTGTGAACTGCTGTCATGGTGGTGACGGGCCACAAAAGCACTACATGTTCCTGGTGATATGTTCCCCTAATACACACAACATTCTCTTATCCCATCTCCCATGGGCTGCAGAAGTACCTCTCACCCTTCCCTGTCTCACCCTCTGCTTCATGAACTTTGGGGAGTTCTTGAACCTTTGAGTCGCTTCCAGGAATGATCTGAGCTTTGGGGGTCACTGTCTGGAATTGTTTGCAGGTTCACCTTGGTTCATTAGCAGCAACTGCAGGCTGCTCTTGCTTTGCCCCTCCTCATTTATATAGGCTGCCCAGCTGCTAGCACTGCCTGCTCAAAGGCCCTGTGTATCTTCTGCATCCATCCATCTGTCTGTGACAGAGCAGGTATCTTCCACCCATTTTCCAACTTCATCCTACTCTGCTGCCAAGTAGTTCCCTCCTTGAAATCTCTCTTCTTTGAGGTGGTAAGGGAAAGAAACCTTCTGCTTTATCTTCCTTTCTTCTCCAATCCATACTGGAGGGTATCTTTTTTCTCTGCATCAGTGAACTCCTTGAAAATGGTGTGTATATGGCTCTTGGTTAGCCTGCAGTCCTTGTGATGCTTTCCTGTAGCAGTGAGGATGGAGAGAAATTAGTGGCTGGTCAGACAAATGGATATTTGTATGGAAGAATAGGATAAAAGATGCCATGAAGAAATTGTTTCTTCCTTTTGCTGATCTAGAGTGCCTTGGATATCTATGGTAATTGGAAAACAGTCATGGAATGAGAATAGGCTGTTGGTTACCTGAGGTTAGTTGAAGGACATCCTTAGGTCAAGGGCTTCTGAAAATTAACATACATATCACTTGACGACTGACAACTTCAAAGCTGAATGGTCCTCAGCGCAGATGTTCTCCTGCTGCCAAGGCAGATATTCTCTGGATGTGTTGCAGCCACCACTGCTTATGGTGGTACCTAGCAAGAATGTTTGTAACCCCTCAAAGTAGATGATTACTAAAGTTCTTTGTAAAAATTGTATACTCTCTCACAAAAGAAACATATTTACACTGTCCTTATGTTAGCAAATGCCTGTTGAAAGTGCTACTCTGTATTAATAAATTTTACACTATTTTAAAAAATACAACCATGAAATAGTATGTAATTATTTACTACATAAGGACTATGTAATGATAAATGAATATTTGACTGCAAGCTATGTATTCTTAGATGCTGTCTCTGCTGTGTGTGTTTGCTTAGGAATGGCAAGGAGTTTACTATGCAAGAAGAAAATCAGGAGACAGTATCCAGCAGCATGTGAAGATAACACCTGTGATCGGTCAAGGAGGGTAACTAATTTGGCCAGAACATAATTGCTTTCTGCTTTTCAGGGCCTTGTCTCCACTTTCCCCATCTGTAATTTTGAACCTCCATGTATTTCGTAGCAGGGTTATGATATTACTGCTGACTTCAAGCAATGTGGAAAGAATAAGCAAAATTGAGAAGGTCATGTTCTTTGCTGATATTTGTCCATTTCAATGTCAACATATGCTGGCTAAAAGAACTGTAGAGTCATAATAATTAATAGTGTTACTGCTATAGATATCTGCAGGCTGATATTTAGGTTCATGTTACCATGCATTTCTTTATGAAGTTATTCTACACTATCCAAACTGTTACCCGGCCAGCTGGAAGGATCAGCAGCTAGGCAATCCCCTTGTTTGTGTGCGTGCTTGTATATGCTCACACCTTTGCAGTGTAGTATAGGCATGTTGCCACATTCTGCTCCCAGATGTGCAGGTGAATTCCTACAGGAGCAGAAGGACCAGGTGTCCTGGGACAAAAACATAGCTGTAATGCTGAAGGAGTGCTTGTCTCCCAGTCGTCTGTTTGGTGTTGGGTTTGGCATCTTGTTTCATGAGGTCATGGAGACCCCTGTTTTAAAAAATAGTAGTGTATCACTTCACTTCTCTATCATTTGATATGGTAACAAGTGATTATTTCTGCTGCTAGGAAAATAAGACACTTTGTGTCCCTCAAAAGGCTGCATTGTACCAATGAAAACAACAAACAGGTATCGTATTTCTTTTATGTCATAATTTTCATTGCTCTTAGTAAACTGATATTTTTTGGGCTAGAAATTGATATTTTTCCAAGAGGATATGATCTATATTGTCAACAAGATTCTCACTGATTGTTGGAGCAAGCAAGAAAACTTCAGCATTTGCATGGGCTAGTCTCCTTTTGTAGGACTGCTGAGTAGAGAAAGAAAGGCTTTAATTTTCTGAAGCATGGATGTGACAGTTGAATCCATGATACTGTGCAGCGACATAGAACATAGTCCAAAGGGAGTTCAGGGGCTTTTTTCTAGACCTGCTTTTGCCAGTCTGATCTGATGTACTTATGTCTAATAATGACCTATGCTCAGCTGTCACAACATTTGCCAATGTGTATTCTTGAATAAAGTGTAGCCTTCACATGGGACCTGAGACATTGCATGCTCATTGGAACATGTGGTGTGGAGAGGTGTAATTCAAGCCATAACCCAAGTAAACCAGCAGTAGCAGCTGACCTCAATTCCACAGTTCAGGCACCTGTCCACATGAGCAAGTCCTGCAACAAAGCTGGTGGCATGGGGGGATGTTTGTTGTCATCTGCTCCTGGTTCCCTTCCTCTGAAAGTGTCTGAAGCAAATGATCATATCACATGCTTTGCCTCAAAAATACTCTAGTACATGGCCTGTAGAGTAAAGAAGTTTGGACTTTAGTGAGCAAAGGAGTGAAATCAATCTTTAACCTGTGGTCTGTAGGGGTGAGATAGAAAGCGGGGAGCATAGGGAGTAGCTGGCAACATTTTAGACTGAGGACATGTTTGGAAAACATGATGTATTTCCATGTTCTTTAGGGGAGGTGTTATGTATCTTTAGAATTTTAATGTGCTTTTATCCATGATGTGGGTAAAACCACTTGTCCATGAAAGGTATTTAGAAAGTCACTACTATTTCTAGTTGCCACTTCTTCAGTATAACAATACTGAATGTTAACACATTATTGGAAAACTATTGAAAGATGTTCCTAGGTGGTATTCTGTAAAATTTTACTTTTGAAACCACCCCCCTTGCACAAGTTTTTGTGGCGGCAGGTAGTAACAAGTCAAGGAAAATTTCTGCACAACTTTTGGAAGAACTTTGAAGGTCTATCACTGAAAAACAAGGTTCAAAATGTTTTAAAATTACCTCATCTTTGAACTAAAACATGGATTTTAATATTAGCAGCAAAGTATCATTTACAGTAGCAGGATGTTTTGAAGTGTTCAGGCTAGAGTGCAAGGGAGTTTTGCAATAGAAGCAGTGCTAAAGTAACATGTATTTCTTTTTAATTCATTATTTAAACCTTATCATTGTTATTGTTTCATTTATAGCTGCTTTGATGTTGATTTGAAAGTGAGATACAATTTGATGTTTTTTCTATAATATACACACAGCTGAAAGACTAGTACAGGGAAGTGTGGATGTGATACTCTTAGTGCAAAATAATCAGTACAAAACAAACTTGCAGCCATCTGTAAAAAGCAGTAGTAGGAATATAGGTAGAAGTTCTTGTCTTTTCTGTTTTTCATTGCCCCATTCATTGGGCTGCCTAAGCCAGTAAGCTTAAGAAATAAATTTTAGTTAGGGACTTGTGTCCAATGCCACATTCATATTCTCTGTATTGCTGGCACCATTGGAAAGCACCATCAATTCACAGTTTCTAGTATTGGTTCATGAGCAGTTATTGGTAAATAAAGCACTAACATGACACGCTGTAGGTCTGGGGAGCTTTACACATTTGGTGAGCCCGTGGAAAATGGCCTTCAAAGCGTTCTCCACAGATGTAGAGACCTACCACAAAGGTTAGAGACCACAGCCTAACAGAAAACATGGTCTGTGCAGATTTAAGGTCCATTGGGGAAAAAACAAGGTACATCCAACAGAACTAGGTAATTATTCTGTTTCATTTCTGTGGTGGAAATATCTCCTGCCTATAGTAGAGCACCAGGTGCTTTTGCATTGCAGGAAAAATTCAGTGTCTTGGAATTTTGGGGGTTTGGGCGTGGTTTTGGGTTGGCTTTTTTTTTTTTCATTTTAGAATTTTAGGCGGGCAGTGATGGTGATGTATAGGAATATCTGTATTATATTCATGAGACTTCCTGGAGTTATTTTTGTAGCAATACTAATGTGATCGTATCAATCCTGATCAACATTTGGACACTGCAGTTTTCCTAAAATCCATGGCTGAACACTTGCAGCAGTAGAACTTCTCTCTGCCCTAAAAAAATATTAGATTTCTTTTCAAGCCACTGATAATTCTTTATAGAAGGATAAACAGAAATCAAACAAACTATTTATTTAGTTCCAGAGCAGAAAAAGCTGTCATGATTCAAATTTCTATGCAAATGTCTAATGTTTCACTACATCAACATAATTGTAACTGGCTTGATCTCAGCATTCAGACACTGTATGCATACTTAGAAACATCCTTATATTATTATGCATTGTTTCACCTTAAAAAATGTAGACGTGTTCTTTGTCATTACTGACAGTCTCCATAAGGGATATCACAGTATGATTAGAAGTCACTGTGTAGGAACCTTCATGGATTTCTGTGCCAGGTTTATCACATACAAAAATTAAGCATGTTAGATTTATGCATGGAAAACAAAATACATCTGAGAGTGTATTAAGTATTCTTACAGTGAAGATTTGTGAATGGGGATTGACTTTCATGTGACTATTCCCATGTGGTGAAGCCTAGGTAATGATTAATGCTGCCTTTGTCAATTTGAGACCTGGCAGGATAGAGTCCAGTGTTTGCACATTCATAAATGTACAACAGAGGTGGTGTTTCTCCTCTTAAAAACATATCAGCCCAAGATTAACCATGTGACTGCCCTTGTAACTTACCTTACATGGCTCTTTCAGGTCATGCCTGCAGAAGGGGTAAGAGAAGTATTCAGAACTGAAATGTGGTTTGTCTTATTTTTTTAGAGGAGCACTTAGAGGGCTGTTCCAATGTTTTCTGCCAGTTGTGCAGTAGACAGTGATACATCCATGGGCTCTGAGAGAAGCTCCAGTTTGGGACCAGAACGAGCAGTTCACATGCTTTGTGTCACTGTACCATATCTGATGAGCTTCCTCGATCTTACTCTGTTTGGATGAGATGATTTCTCTGAGAGTTCCTGCATGATTACAAGAGAGGTGTTTAAGCTTTAATCAGTTTTCTGGAGGAAGAGTGATTCCTTACAATCCCTTGAACAAGAGCTATATGGAGCATGAGATCAGGATTTCCCCCTTTTTTTTTTTTTTTTTTTTTCTTCCTTCTTATTCATTACTGAAAGCCAGTCCTGACTTTTGGGTTTTTTCCTTTCCCTTCTGTTCTCTTTCCTTTTCACCCTCTTCCCCTCCTCCCCCCAAAAACAAAAAAGAAAAAAAAAAAGATGGAGGTGTACAAGAATGATGGAAAAGAGAATTTGTATCATTCCTTTCCTTTCTTTCCTGAATAATCCCTGTAAGAACCCTGCAGCATGCACTGTCATGAAATGCTATGGACGCTAAGATCGCATAAGTGCAACCTTGCCATACTCTCCTTCTAACTCACAGGTTACAACCATGGATTTCATGTTTCCATGCAGTCTAGTGCTTTGCTATAAGCAGGTGATGGATTTGGTCAGAGGAGCCAGTTACCATAGATTAGATGACAGTACTGCACTCCTAAATACAATGTGTAATGAATAATTTGTAAGTGCAGTGTTAAGCACTAAAGTTTATTCATCTGAATTAGAGGATATGTATACCTTCTCTAGTGAATACAGTAAAAAAAGTAATGCATTATTTTTAGTCCTTTTCAGTGTCTCTGTTAGCTATACCTGAATACAACTTGTGTTAATTTTATAGGGAAGACTTGAGGAACTGAAAGTTCTGCTCAGTTTTCCTTTTAACAGCAAAATACCTTCTGTAACCATGTAACAAAGGAACGGGGTGAAGTGATTAGCAGATATTAAATTGTCATATATTGGACAGACTGTGCTTTTGTTTCTGAGCTGGATGGAAAAGCAGAGAAGTATTTAATCTGTGTTACTGTAGACCAAGCAATAGGTGTAAACTTTAAGATGGTGGAAATATCCTATTTAAAGTCTAAGAAAGATTGAAATATTTATCAGTAGAGATACCCAAGATGTTTCCACAAAGAATTAAGATTTTGTGTTTAACTTCATTCATGAGAATGATTAATAACTACTTGGAAATAAAAAAAGTTCTGATGGATGACACCTACCTCTACCCTTCAGCAGCTGGAGAGTTGTTTTTGTAACTGTGTTTTTTGAAGTCCCATTTATCAGTGACCCATAAAAGGATGCATACAAAATTAGCTTATATAGTACTAAGAAAATGTTTTTTAAATTACTGTACAGAGGGCAAAAATGAACACTTTAGGATTTCTTTTTTCTTTTTGTGTTTTATTCCTGGAATCTTTCAGGTTCATATGCAATTTCAACTTAAAGCACTATCTAAAAATGAATATCAGTTCTCTTGCAGACACAGGCATTAAACAGGAACTTAGTACATAAAAGCATTATTATATCTGTGATTTCCTGAATTGCATATCTGTTTACTTTCATATTATTTCTCTACATCTAATTACACCTAAAGAAGAGTCTTCGCCAAACACTTTTTTTTCAAATAACTGAAGTGTAAATGTTGGATAAGGACAGTGTTGAATGTAGCCCTTTTAAAATCTTCTTGTATTCTTTTTCCTTACATATATATTTTACTCTTGGTGCATCTTCAGCTCTGCAAGAGTCACCGTGATGAGAAGTACACAGGAGACAATTCTCAGTCAGGTTAGAATACTATCATTTACCTTTATATACCACTGTGCTTGAGGTCATGGCCAGGTGCTTTGCTGGTGTGAAGTGTTGTCACTTCCCTCTGTTGAGTCAGTGGTCAGAGCAGATGGCCAATGACAGATGCCAGCTGCTCTGATGTTGCACCATGAATTGGATTTGTAACTATCATGAATAATTCAGTCTCCTGTGCAGAGGTCTTGCCGTGCATTTAGAGCTAAGATGCTCTTCGTTGTATTAAAATACCGTGTCTGATTCTGAAGTTGGTGTACCTTGGCACCCCATTCTGTTTGAAATTAATATGGAACTGTGACAACTTGTGCCAGCAGATCTGCCCTAGTGTTTCCAAGTTTAGGACCTGTCAGCAGGCCATTGGTTTGGCCCCAGCACAGGGCTAAGATAGTTGTCTGCAGTGTGCACGGTAGAGCTAGTCATGTCCAGTCAGCGTTGAGTTGTTGCAGTGTGTCTGCACAACTTTTGCCCTGTGTCCTGGGCAGGTTTGCTTACTTGCAGACAGCATGTTCAAGTTCTCAGTAACGTCTGCAGATAGCTTTTGACTAAAGGTGTCGAGTATAAGAGAATCATCTCTTCTTTTGATGCTGTGTAGTGTTTAAAATCATTTTCTGTGAAGAAGGAGGCACTAAAGGCCAATTTTAAGCTTGTGATTCTAGTGATCTGAGCCAGATGCAACACTGCTGTCTTACTCTGAGTTAACACGTTCTCATGCCCTGTTACCTTCTGGCACCCAAGGCCCTTCTCACTATGAAACACTGGACAATGTCGCCATGCTATGTCAGGTAGTTTCTGATTTTCACATGGGATGAGGATATAACATACCAAGAGCATGGGAAGTACTGCTTGACATCCCCTATTTCAAGTATCATAAGATTCTATACAAGCATTGGAGAGCTTTGTGATACCAAATAATAATGGGCAGGGGGGAAGAGATAATATATGCAATTTGCTGTTCTCATTACCATTGCTGCCATCAGAACTGATCCATCATGTGTTAAACTGTTTGCTCCTGTATCCCTGTAATAAATGCAATTTTTCTTTGTCACTGTTTATTTACTGCAAACAGGGGAAGGTGAGAATGCCTGTGAATTAAGCTGAAGAACAGTTGTTACTAGTTAACACATAGTTACTAGCTTACTAATGGGTTTTACAGATTATGTGGGGCATTTAGGTTTGCTCATTATTGTCACAGATTTCAGCAAGACTGGGAAGCCAAATCCCATGAAGCCCTGTTGATGACTGTGATGCAGTGAAAGCAGGCAACCTCAGAGTCACGTGTATGAGATGTAGGTTATCCTTCCCTGCAGTCCATGGTTGTGCTCCAAGAATAAATTCCCAGAGCTATGGGCATATACAAGTATGTGATGAGGGTAGAAAAATAATCTATGTGTATCATGCTGTTTGCAATGGTGTGATTTGTAACACATCTGGATGGGGAGACATTCCACTTGTCAGGTGAAGGAAAATTTTTTATATAGGCATTTAAATATTTTCAGCTGAAATTGTAGCATGGCACAGAGTAGTTTTTATGCACCTGTGACTCTTTAAGTGGCACTAGCACAGCTTCCAACTTGATAGTTGGTATTTAATACAAGTAGAGTTGTCTTGTCTGCTACTGCCACTCACAGTTATGTTTACATGTAAATGTTTGCTCCACTCAAGTGCCTTATGTTACCCCAAATGTTAATGCAGGAAAAGGGTTTGAAGGAGGAGTCCTATCAAATAAATAAATAAAATAATTTAACATACATTAGTTATTCCCCAGTCTTAGCTGTCAACACAGGAAAATGCTTTCAGTTTATCCAGTCTGGAGTACAACAAAATAAAAAGACCCAAGCTGTCATGTAAATCTGTGGTAAAGAAAAAATTAAGACAGAAATTGTGTTTTATTCATTTTTAAGATGGCTATATTTTTAATTCTGGAGAATTGTATACTAACATTTTGTTTTGCTAAAGACAGGCCGCATGTATTCTGTCTTGTAACATGGTTATACAAATCGGTCCTGATGTTGAGAATATCAATTTTATGATATTTCTGATTCTTCACATGGTGGGTATCTCCTTTTGAGAGCTTGCTGGGGTCTCTGATCTTTGGGTGGCATTTCAGATACTCTGGGAATAAGTGCTATAGAGACTCTTACAAAGAGGTGCATAGATTCAGCATGAGAGAGTGCAGACTGTAATGTTTTGGAGAATAATGAAATTTTACCACATCTTTCTTCCTTTTTTTTCTTTTTTTTTTTTTTTGAGACTCTTTCCAGGCATTTCATCTAGCTATTACATTTGTCTGGATGTGATAATTTCTCTTGCTTTAGCAAATGGCAGTTTCAAGAAAGACAGCTTGGTGTGTGGTTAATTTTCAAAGCAACTGAACTGATTGTTTATAATCATTCTCAGTATGTTGGATTTTTCTTAAGCACATGGTACAAACAATTATTGTAATTAAAAGCAAAAGCTGTCTGAGTCTGAATTGTGCTTGGTCTAGAAGAGTGTAGACTGAGATGGGATTTTTTTTCACTTTGCTAAATTTCCAGGCAGTTAAACTCAGGCTTGTTCAGTGGCTGGTGGAGAACAAAAGGGACTTGCAGGAGGGGTTCAGCCCACCTGCCTGAGACATATCTCCTAAAGCAGGATCTTTGACAACTGCCTGAGACAAAGACAGCCTGAAAGACTGCTGGTTTTAGGCAGCTGATGTTAGGTGAAGTGACTCCCCTGTTCCATAAGGTGTCTTGCCTTCTTTGTGAAACAGCTTTCCAGGTGACTTTAGACAAGTTGTTGTAAATTGATAGACACCAACTGCCTTGTTCTGATGTGCAGAGATTACAGTATTCCCCCCACTTACGTGGTATCATTAAGATCATTTAATTAAATGTTCAGAATTTTAGATGGAGGAGACTCTGTAGAGGTCTTGATGCATTTTTAAAGCTTTCGTTTTGTATTTGCAGAATCCCATTCCTTCAAATGCAAGAACAGAAGGAGAGACTCAACTGATGTTAAGTCAATAACATCTCAAAGTAGTGATGGTAAGAAAGTAAACTGTCAAGAATGCCATTATAAATAAAGAACAAACTTGCCCTAGGCAATAAAAGTGCAGAAGGAAAGAGGAACCAGACAGACTCGCAGCTGATTAAACAGAGAGTACTCTGTTTTTTTATAACTGCTGTAAAATTTCTATATTCTGATTTGCAAAACAGTGCTCCAGCATGAGTACCAGCATCACTATACAATGCGTGCAGTGTGCAGTGCCTTCACAGGGAGGAGTGGCTGTGCCAAGGGATGGGGGCAGCCTGCTAAAAGAGTGCATGGTGAAGTGCTAGTTCCACCTCTTCTAGAAAGCTGCAGCTTGTGCTCCCAAACCAGTATTTTGGCTTCATGAGTGTGCGACATGAAGGGATCTATTGCTGCTGGTTACTTGAGAGCAGTACTTCTGCTTCTGATTCCATTTGTGGCTGCTTGCTGGGGCTGGGACAGTGGTGGCAGATATTTCTTTCTGCCCCAGTATGTAGTGAGAGAAGCACAGCTTAGGGGGAGCAGCAACAGGTTTCGTTAGAGCAGTTGTATCACTGAGATACACACATACACAACTCTCACAAGGAAGAACCATGTCTGGCACAGGTCCGTTGCAAACAAAGGGAGAGTGGCAGGTACCGGGCACGAAGTATAATATAGCTTAAGTATAGCTTCATTTCAGAGTAGCTGAAATGATGGAGGGATAGAAAAACTGACAGCAGAAGTCAGGGGTGGCTGTAAAGGAGGTAGACAACAGTGCAAGAAATTAAAGAGTATAGCGAGAACTTGCAGGAGGGGAGATACAGGAGAAATGGGAGACGAGGTTGGATTCTGTTGTGCTGTTCCCCAGTGACAGCCTTCTGCACTCTTTAAATGCTGTCATCTGATTTACACTCTGTGACATGTAAACAGTGCTCTCTTTAATGGCAGCTCCAAGTTTACAGACCCGATGGTACTCTTCTATGGCAAGGATCCATTCAATGACAATAGAAGCTCCTATCACAAAGGTGAGCCCTGAGCCACTGCCTTTTCCACAAACTCAGAGTGTGAAGTAGCTCTCATAGGGAAGTATGTAGTTTGTGGCAGGACAGCCAGGGTTTCCTGCAGGTTTCCTGCACCTTTTATTTAACAGAATAATTTAAATCTTTTTTTTTTTTCTTACCACTTGCTACATCTCATAATCTCATTACAAATCCTAGTCATAAGGAATATTAAAAAGGGGAAAAAGGTGTCCTTGCTAGACGCACTGCTTGTGACAGAAAGGGGACCCTCCTCTGTTGGGCTGTGCGTGTGTGGGAAAACATATGCTTCCAGTCTCACCTTTGCTTTTACCACTGATATTTATAAGATAGCATACAAAGAAGGGAGCACCTACACTATATTGTCCCCCCACTTACCTGCAGTCTTTTCTTCACTATCCATGTTATACAAACTCTGCTGTCGCAAACCAGCTTCACAATCATTTGTCCCACAAACCAGGATGTCTGCCATCTCCCGCCCTCAGATCATTTTTATCTCTCTCCCCATCTTCTCTTCCTGGCATCAAGCTCTTTACCTCACAGCAACACTCTGCCTGTTAGAGCAGCTGACTCCTTTCCTTTTCCTTCTCCCCAAGCATACCTGCAAGGAAACCTGTAATGCACCCACATCAGCCTCTGATTGCTGGTGAAGACAGCACAGGGCCTTTCTCTCTCTAAGTCCTGGCAGTGCCCTGAGCAGTCCTCGGTGCTGCCGTGTCATTGCTGCATTCCCAGATTGCGGGTGAGACACAAGGTGGGAGGCAAAGAAGAGCCATCCTCTTCTCCCTCAACCACAGCCCAGCTGTTGGTGCTCTCTGCCCTTCATTTTCACATTGAGAAAATTAAGGTTTTACATCCAATATCAGGATAACCTGAGTCACATCCAAGAGTTCGTTCGTTTGCTTTTTTCCTCTGGGGACTGAGTGGTTGCTTCTGAGCAGCCCTGACTATGCTGAAGGTCTGGGACAAGGTTAGTTTTTGGTCTACCCACCTCCAAATATTTCAGATATTTCACACCCTTCTGCTTTCTCTTCCCAGGAGTTTACCAGTTATAAATAGCAGGTGGATACCAGGGAATCAGAGCACAAATTTATGTTTTCAGGGTTGTACTTAAAGGGTTGGGGGGAATTACATAGCATTTGTCAAATGCGAAGTAGCATAGTCAAGCCAAGAATAAAGATTTTGTAATAACAAAAGACAAAAGTGACATTCACTCTTCCTCACCTGCCTCCTTAATCTGCTTTCAGGTTATTAACATAATTAATGCTGCCCAGGAAAACAGCCCCATCACAGTAGCAGAGGCCTTGGACAGAGTTCTGGAAATCCTGCGGACAACAGAACTTTACTCCCCTCAGCTAGGTACCAAAGATGAAGATCCTCACACAAGTGATCTTGTTGGAGGTTTGATGACTGTGAGTAAAATTAGTAAAGATGAAATTACTGCTACCAGTGTCCTATATCACAGTTCAGTATTCTGCTGTGCTAAAATTTCACAGGCAGTAGGAAGGGGACTCATAATTCATCACCATTTCACTTAAGTATTTTGGCCTCTCTAGTAACAGTAGGCACCAAGATGTAGTAAGATAAGGCCATGTCTCAGTCCATTGGGTGTGTTCATCCTCATACATAAGTGAACCCAGTTGCCACTAGAAACTATATCATCCAATCTAATTTGTCTCAAGCAGATGCTTTTTAGAAACCCTAGAAGTTTAGATGGGATTAGAGGGATTGCTCTACAACTGGTCCAGTGTAAGAGAGAGGTTACTTTAATCAGGTTCTGGCTTTGATCCTATAACAGCAACAACAGAGTATGCCAGAGACATACTGCCTAGGTTTCATCATGGTTTACCTCATTTTTTGACTTACACTGAACTAACCCTTGTCAAAATAATATAAAGAAAATGAAAAATAAATGATAGTGGTTAATTTGAATGACAAAATCCTTCAGGTGCCAATGAAAGTGTGAAGGAGGGCAATACACTCTATAGTTAATAACACCATTTCTGGAGATCTCATACTAGTGTTCCTTGGATCCTTTCATGTCTCTTTTGAAAGACCTTAAAACAAGGATGGTTCTTGTAGTGCTACAATAGGAGCAGTGCTTTTAGTACACAGGAATAGTACCTAAAGAGAAAGTGCATGTAGTGTTTTTGCAATTAATGATGCATGGATACTCTGCCTAAAACTTACGATAAACTTGCTTTTTCAGGATGGTTTGAGAAGACTGTCAGGAAATGAGTATGTGTTTTCTAAGAGTAAGCCACCATTTTAAACTTCCCTTTGCACATGGGACTTCTTTTGTAGATGCTAGTGACACAGAGCTCCAAGCTAACTTGCAGTGGGATGTATGTCTTTGGAAATGGTTGCCTAAGTGACTGCAGAACAAGTGCTAGACTGCCTCCATTTTGGAGTTGAAGCAGGTTCAAATAATTAAAATAATATGTTTCAAAATATAGAAAGTCAGATTAGGAAAAAACTAAATTGTCACTCAAAGAAATGTTCACTGATCTTTTTGGTTTATGTCCAAATCATCTGTAATAATATAAACCATATATATTATAGGCTTTTACAGAATTTTTCATGTAAAGAAAAGAGTGTTTTTCCTTGAAAAAGAGTTGATTTCTAAATATAATTCTGCATGTTGAGGGAAAAAATAATCCAGAAATGTTGTAATTCCCAAATTCCATTTCAACAGATACGAACCTGAGCCATAGTCACCTGTCAGTGCCAAACACCATCAATGATGTTCCACCCTGTATTGCACAGCTCCTGGATAATGAGGAAAGCTGGGACTTCAATATTTTTGAGTTGGAGGCTGTTACAAATAAAAGGTACTGGACTCCTTTCCCTGGGTGCCGCAGAAAGGTTGTTGAGGAGCTGTAGCAGAAAGTGTTTTGCTCTGGAAAAACTGAAGCAAGACACAGTAAATCTGTGAGAGCTGCCTTTTTTTGTGTGTGTGTGTGTGTATTGTTACCATTTGTCCCATTTGACAAGCCAGGCATGGCCAAGATGCATGCACAGGCCATGGAAAGCCCTGTGCAGACTGTTGTCTTCCTTGACAGCACCTACAGCCCTCCAGGATTATTTTCCATTCAACTTTTACCTTGTTTGACTCCCATCCACTCTATCCAGGTGACACTGTTTGGCACAGTCCAGTGTTGTTACATGCTGGATGTCCACAGATGCCCCTTTT